AAAAAAAAAAAAAGAAGAAGAAAATGGGGGAAAAATTATGAAAGAAAGAAAAAAAAAGGAATAACTATTTAAAGAAAAAAACAACAATGTATCATAGAGTTCATAACCTGACATGTGAGTATGAATGTAGGACAATGGTCAGAAACTATGATAAAGATATGAATTATCCRAGAGACATTCTGGGAAAAAATAATAGATTTATTTTTTTTGGATGAAGATTCTGGAGAGAGAGGGGCATTTCCTTTACTGGTCCTTGATTAATCCCAGCAAACAGAAGTAACTTCATAAACCCTCTTGTCTCCTCCACTAGTCTACACACGTTATCATTACTGTATTGCTCCATCTATTTTTCACTCAGATTGTACTATTATAAATCCATTTTTCCTATTAAACCATGAGCTCTTTCATTATAGGATTATCTTATGGGGTTCTCACTGTTCAATACATATAATTGGTGCTCAATAATAAATTGGTGAGTACATGTAGAATAAATTAACTTACATTTTGTTTTTTCTTCTCTGGAACCAAAGCTACATAGCGCAATGCAATCTTGGTCAGAGTGGTGGCAAGGGAGGCAGCAACAAAGAAATCTCCATCCAGAAGGAATCCTCTCAGGGGAGGTCTGCAATCCAATGAAGGAAAATGAAAACCACTAACTTCTTAAGCAGCTGCAGCTTTTGTACAAATGATTTACATAAATCACCCTCACTCCCAACCTTCAGTTAAATCCTTCTTTGGCTCTCAAAAAGAAAAAGAATACATGATGTTAATACTTTTCTTCAAATCACTCAAGAGCCAAATGAATGAAAGTAAAAAAAAAGTTTAGTTAAGGAGGCTGAGGCAAGAGGATTGCCAAGTTCAAAGCCAGCCTCAGCAACTTAGCAAGACCCTAAGCAATTTAATGAGTCCCTGACTTAAAATAAAAAATAAAAAGAACTAAGGATGTCATTCAGTGAATAAGCATACTTGGATTCAATTCCTGGTACAAAAAAAGAAAAGGGTGTATGTACTGGAGCTAATGACTTTCAAATCCCAGTTTATCTATTTATTTACTGGATAGGTTACAAACTTCTCTAAGTCAAATTTCTCTTCTGTAAAATGGAGRTGATATAACCAATCTATCTCAAAAGGTTTTTGTCAAGACCATATGAGACAAACYACTTAGCACAATGCTTTGCACATGGTAAGTATTCAATAAATTTTAGGCATAATTTTCATCATCTTCATTACAAAAAAGGAGAGTAAAATAAAGGAGAAAACATTAAAAATGTTATTCCATCAACTGGGGGGAAAAAAACAAGAAGAAATGGAAATCTCCAAAATATCTCTTCAGATACTAATGGGCAACCAAACTCAAATATCATATTTACCTCCACTTCACATTTTCCATGTGAGAAAAATGATTTTAAACAGTCATTTCAGTGAAAACAGAAGAGCAGAGGATTAATACCATCAACACAATTCATGGGGGAAAAAGTAAACACCTTCCTCCTTTCAAGTACTTTAAAGGGCAAAGACTTTCATTTTGGTTACAAAAACAAATGAATAAAAGAAATCATGTGACTGTTTTATACATGAGAATTATAATAAAAATAGTTCAGCTGGCAGGGCACAGGGACCATAAATTACCTGTCTTCCTCTTTCTTGGTGGGTCTAGAACTGCTGAGGGCACTCTGAGTTGCATAAGTACCCATTTCAGTAACCAATTTTTGAACTGGCCCCACAGTTATTTCTTCTTCAGGCTTTAATTCACCAGCTTCTTTCTTTATTTCTGACTCTACAATTGGGATCTAAAAAATCAATTAGAAAAATCAATTTAATAGTAATATGAAAAACAAGCAAAATCATGTTTCTTTGTTTATTTATTATCTGCAATACTATAGATTTTTTTCCCCTTAACTTTATTACCCCTGAATTTCATCCTCAATCCTTTTWAAAATTTTGAGATAGGATCTTGCTCTCAMAATTGAGGCTGGTCTCAAACTTGCAATCCTCCTGCCTCAGCCTCCCAAGTTGCTGGGATAATAGGTAGGCACTACAACAAGCTACAAAATCATATTTTTCCTTCCTTCTTAGGAAATGCAATGGGAAGAACAGGGGCTCTGGAGTTGGACATTCTTGGCTTTAAATTTCTCTCTTTGCCACTATACTAGTATATGGTTCTGGAAAGTTAATTAAACTACTTTGAGCCCCAGTTTCTTAATTTGTTAAGTGGAAATCACTTCCATACCAAGTTAYTTTCAAGAAAAATGCATTGGCTTTATTCTTCATCCGTTCTCTTGAAAAATTAACCTAAACCAGCACTCATCTTTCTATAAAAAGAAATAAATTTGACTCATTTGTACCAATCACTTCATCAACCATCCTTTTTAATTAACCAAGGGCTACTTTGTATTTATTTAATACTAGTCTAATTTAAGAGTTCTCATTGGGCACTGTGGTGGCACTTCTGTAGTCCCAGCAACTTGAAAGGCWGAGACAGGAGGATTGAAAGTTCAAAGCCACTCTCAGAAACTTAGTGAGGTCCTAGGTAACTTATCGATACCCTGTCTCAAAATAAAAAAGTAAAAAGTGCTGGGGAATGTAGCTCAGTGGTTAAGTGCACCCAGGTTCAATCCCTGGTGGTAGGGGGGAGGGATGAGTGCTCAAGAGTCTTTAATCATTACCAATTTCAACACTTTCTATTTTATAGAGGAAAAAACTAAAATCCAGTTCAGAAACTTAAATTCAAGGTTCCAGAGCTAATTATTGGCAGAAMCAAAAGAAGGCACCCCTAATTTTAAGGAATAAATACAAAGTAGCCTTTAAGGCTCAATTATCTGGCTAATTTAAATATATTTTTCAATCTGGTCACTACTAAATAAAAACACAAATGTAAATCATCACATAAAAGATTTTTTTTCTTTTTTGGTGATGCTGGGGATTGAACCCAGGGCCTCTCACATGCTAGGCAAGCACTCTACCACTGAACTATGTCCYTAGACCACTAGATTTTTCAGAAGCATTAATCACCATATAAAGCAAGATTTACACTGACTGTGGCGGTGCATGTTTGTAATCTCTGCAATTTGGAAGTCTGAGGCAGGAGGATCACAAGTTCAAGGTCAGTCTCAGTAACTCCTGRAGACCCTCAGCAACTTAACAAAAACCTATCTCAAAAGAAAAAGGACTACTGATGTAACTCAGYGGTAAAGTACCTCTGAAATCAAGTTCCAGTACCAAAGATAAGCAAGCAGGATTTACTAAAGTAAAACATACCTCTCCAAGGGACCTACGGACTTCCGTCATCACACTTTGAATGTCTTCCTTGGTACTACAGTATTCTCCCAGGATCCATAATGCACCTCGATAAATCCTAGGATAAGAATACAAAATCTGAAACACAGACCTCAAAAAGAAATCCTGAAGCAGAAATCTTTCTTTGTGAATTTAAGCTCAAGTGAAAAAAATAAGATTCTGCAGTTCCAAGGAAGTATGGAAGAATGTTTCATATAGAATGTAACAATAAGTTTTTATTCTTTCCAGAAATCACAAGAAAAATTACTCTTCTCATTTTTCATTAATGGGAAGCTTCTAAAGTTGACAAACCCAGTATTAAAAATAAAATGCCAAAACACTTCCCAGGAAAGTGTCCCTTATGGCAGTTAAGGTAAATTTGGCTTTACCACTTTCTACTATAAGATATGTATTATTTTAATGAAAAACTAATTTACTTATCTGTAGTCACTGAAGAGACAAACAGAACAATATATACAGAGGTGCAAGAACATACATGCTAGGGTGTGTAGCTCAGTAGTGAAACATTTCTTTGGCATGTGAGAGATCATGGGTTCAATCCCAAGCACAGGAAAAAACTAAACAAAATACAGCAAAACAAAACCTAAACACAGCAATGATGACTATAATCCTATCCACCAGGAAGGTTGAGGCAGGAGGAACTCTAGTTGAAAGCCAGCCTGGGCAATGTAGTGAGACCTGTTTTAGAGTGAAGTAAAAAGAGCTGGGAATGGCAGATCAGTGGTACAGCGCTTGCTTAGCATTGAACGTAGTTACGTTCAATCCTCAGTGGGGGAAAAAATAGCAAAAATTCTCTGATTTAAAATGTTAAAGTGGGGAAGGGAGGGGCCTTGGGGTTATAAATGATGGTAGAATATGATGATCATTATTATACAAAGCACATGTATAAAGACACGAATTGGTGTGAATATACTTTGTATACAACCAGAGAYATGAAAAATTGTGTTCTATATGTGTAATAAGAATTATAATGCATTTTGCTATCATATATAAAAAAGAAAAAAAGAAAAAAAATGTTAAAGTGGCTAAAGTCTTCACTCTTCTTTTCCCTAAGATTTTAAATTTACTYAGAAAAAAAATCAATTTAGAAACTGAAGTTTTAAGAGTTTATGGCTTTCAATGATATGATTTTTTTTTCCTCTCAGGAAGGAAACAAATCTTACTCACTTCCATGTAATACTTCATATTATAAAGACAATTTTGTATGGGTCCCTTCCTTCTTATCTAAGCAGATATAACTCAAGTCTGTCATAGGRTACTCATCAGATTCTTGTGTGTGTGTGTGTTGGGGTGGGTATTGGGTATTGCACATAGGGCCTTGCACATGCTGGGCAAGCATTCTATCATTGATCTATATTCCCATATTCCTAGCCCTTTTTATTTTTTATTTTTGAGATGAGTTTTACTAAGTTACCAAAACTACCCTCAAATTTGCCATCCTACTGCTTCATCCTCCTGGGTAGCTGGAATTATATGTGTGCTGACACCTGGCCAGCCATCAGATTCTTAAAATGAAGCCGAATTTGCATTCAACAATTCTTTCTTGGTATTGGGGATACAGTCYGGTGGTAAAGTATTTGCCCAACACCATCAAGGTCCCAGGTTTGAGTAACTACCACAAACAAACAATAAAAAACAAATAATCCTTTTTCATTAGTAAGGGCCATCTGAAGAGAAACACACATCAGATTTGGGTTGCATTTCCTATCTTTCTCTTCAACAAATGCTAAAGGGGGATATAAATAACAACATTATTTCAAAAATACACCATTTAAAAATATATAAAAATATGCTTCTTAGTCACTTTAGAATTYATACTGTTTTAGAAGAAATCAGAAAGAAAAATCTAGCTAAATCTATAAAATAAATTTAGCTCCTCTCCATTCTATATAATGTTTTATCCAGAAGTAGGAACTGAATCTAGGAGCACTACCATTGAGCTATATCCCCAACTCTTTTTATTTTTTACTTTGAGATAGCTTCTCAAAGTTGCTCAGACTGACCTCAAATTATGAGCCTTTTAATTCAGCTTTCAAAGTAGCTGAGATTACAGGTGTGCCCCACTAAGCCCATCTCTCTCCATTATACTTTCTATCAATTAGCTCTTTGAAGATAGAAATTGATAAAATGCTCACTTGACATTATACCAAAATATATTTTAAACCTACTTGACAGATTTAATAGCATGAAAGACTTCAAGCATCTTCTCAACAATCAGCATTCTCAAACTATCAAAGCGCTGAATGGCTTCACGAACAAACTCCAAGACATCAGCAGCTGCTGCTTCATTACTGTCACTGAGAAATTCCATTAACTAAATGGGGAAAAAAAGAGGCAGGGGAATAAGATTAGCAATTATATGATTTTCAGGAAGAAAATGATCTAAGAAAAGAAGTAAATTAAGATCCAGGAACAGTGGTGCACACCTATAATCCCAGACTTAGGAGGCTGAGACAGGAGGATTCCAAGTTTGAGGCTAGCCTCAGCAACTTAGTGAGACTCCATTTCAAAATAAAAAATAAAAAAGGACTGGGATATAGCTCAATGGTAAAGCACCCCTGTTTTCAATCCTTAGTACCCTCCCATCAAAAAAAAAAAAAAAAAAATTAAGAAATTTCAAAAGAATGTAACTTTTAAAATACAAAACAAAATGTAAGTAGAGAGACAAGTACTATTATGAAAAAAAATCACAATGGTTTCTCTATATGCACTTAAATTTATTATAAAAATCACTATACAAAGAGAATTTAGAAATCAAGTCAAGGTAGGCTTGGTATCACACATTTATAATCCAAGCTACTCAGCTGAGGCAGGAAACTTGCAAGTTCAAAGCTAGCCTCAGCAACTGAATCAGACTATCTCAAAATAAAATGAAGAGTTGAGGATGTAGATAAGTGCAATGGTAAAGCACTTGCCTAGCATGTGAGATCCTGGGTTCAAACCTCAGTACCACCAAAAAACAAACAAAACAACAACAACAAAACCCACTACAAATCCCATTATAAGAAAAATCATTTTAGAGAAAATGTAAAACTCAGAGGCAAATCTTCAACTATACTAACCTACCTCAAAATATTCTAGTTCTGTAAATTTTTCCCATAACTGATTTTTTCAACTTTTAGAGATAAAACTTGTGGTGGTGAATGCAAAAGGGGGCTAAGGAAGAAGGACTGCAAGTTTGAGGCTGATCTTGGCAACTTAGCAAGACCCATAAAAAGGACTGGGGTTTTACTTTGAAATTTTGTGGTTCCGGAAAGTTGACATTTAAGATTAACTGTTGAATAATTAAAAATTTWAAAAAATTCCTTCTAGAGAATTTAAAAATTAAGGTCATCAGAATTACATACCACAGGAATAACATTTGCAGCCATATCTGGAAATCGGACAGAGCAGGAATGCAATGTTCGTACAAGGAGCTGTCTGTATTTGTCAGTGTCTTCATGCTCAGAAACATTATTTGTTTTAATCACTTCCTTCTTCAAGACAATAACCAACTACGAACAAAGTAGAAATAAGTAAGAATTACATTGTGTTTGGCCTGACCACTTACAAAGTGGCATCTTTTTATCTTTTTTTTTTTTTTTTTTTTTACCTCTTCAACATTCCTAGAAGAAACAAGATCCAACGCTAACTGCAGAGTTTTCTTGCGTACTTCCAAGTCTGGTGTGCTCAATACTCTTAGGATGTCCATTACCAGATCCTAAAAGAGCAAACAATCAAGAATTAACACCAATTTTTCTGGTTACAAGAAGAAAAGCTTAACTGCAGAATGGTTCTATCATCAACTTAATTCTTTGATTAATAATAAATTTACTAGTGGTAAAAGAACTAGACATTTTGAGTCTCCTGATGTAATGTAATAGAACTAATATCACAGATGTTGCATTCAAACTGACAAAGTTTACTCTATCAAACTTTACATCTAATTTACAGTTTTTAGGAAACAGGGAGTCAGAGGAACAAGTTAAATGACACCACAAGAATAACCAGCCAGATTCAGGAAGGGCATTTTATAGGAAGGAGAATTGGTCTTGTCACTTCAACAAATTAGTATCAAGCAAAAAGATACTGTTCAAAATTAAGAGACTGAAAGGACATAATAACCAGAATAATATATCATTATGAACTGGACAAATTAAATAAAAAGGGCACTTTTGGGACAACTATAAAAATCTGAATCAATACTTAGTATCAAATAGTATTAAGAAACTATTAACTGTGTTAAGTGTGATATTACTAACTTGGCTCTGTAGGAAAATGTAATATTTAAAAGGTGCATACTTCAAAAAAACTATGATAAATATTTTAAATAGCACAAATCTAATTTACAAATGATTTTACTTCTTTAAAGCTTTATGTTTAAAAATTTTTTCAAGATGTTAAAAAAGTTTCAAAAATTCCTTTTTTTTTTAAAACTTAAAATGTAATACTGGTTTTCTTGTATTATAAGAAAGATAAGTGCAATGGTAAAGCACTTGCCTAGCATGTGAGATCCTGGGTGGAGTGTATAAGGCAGAGTGAGAAAGCTGCCCCCACTCCCAGCCACACAAGCATCAAGGTTCCTCACACATGCACTCAGAGGCCAGCTGGCTTTGCCACAATGTGCAGGGGATGGACTGCTTTGGTCACTTCTAGTTTTTGAGCTGGTTGGAGAGCCAGTCCAAATCTTTGTAAAGCCTATCTATGCTGATAGCACAAGTAACCTGAATGTGTTTCTCTGGTGAAGGGAATGTAAGCCAAGCTTGTCTATTATATCTGCTATATTCACAGCACTGGGAAGATTCTGTTTATTTACAAACACTAACAAACTATCTCTGAATTCATCTTCACTAACATTCTAGTTAGTTTTTTCTTGGTCTCACTGACTCTTTCTCTGTCATTACCAAAACCACAAAAATCAGACCTTGAGTGTTCTTGAAATAATGTTGCCACAAAGGTCTGATTTTGTCCTGGCAACCAACATCCCAGACTGTGAAGCTGTTATTTCCATATTCTACTATCTTCACATTGAAACCTATTGTAGGAAGGGTGGTCACAATCTCTTCCAGTTTCAATTTATAAAAGATGATGGTCTTTCCAGCTGCATCCAAACCCACCATAAGAATCTGCATCTCTTTTTTTCCCAAATACTTTTGTTGTTTTGGTACTGGGGATTGAACTCAAGGACACTCGACCACTGAGCCACATCCCCAGCCCTATTTTGTGTTTTAGAGTCAGGGTCTCATTAAGTTGCTCACTGTTGCTGAGGTTGGCTTTGAACTCACAATCCTACTGTCTTAGCCTCTTGAGCTGCTGGGATTACAGATGTGAGCCACAGTGCCTGGCTCCCAAATAGATTTTTAAACAGCTCTTCGAAAAATGCTGCTTATGGTGCTKGGGCTGGGGCTCAGCGATAGTGCACTTGCCTGGCACCTGTGAGGCACTGGGTTTGGTTCTCAGCACCGCATATAAATAAATAAAAAATAAAGATCTATCAACAACTTAAAAAAATGCTGTCCATTGTAATTTAATTATATAATCTGTTGCCACTATAAGCATCACTACAAGAACCACTAGGGATCTGACTACCTTTAGGATTTTCTCCCGAATTCTTAAATTTCCTCTCTTAGGATTTCAGTGTACATCTCCTAAGAGTACAGGATAAGTTCTTTAGTTTTTGGTGGTGCTAGGGATTGAACCCAAGGCTTCACATATTACAGGCAACCATCTACCACTGAGTTAAATACTCACTCCTGGAWAATTTCTTATATAAACATAAATACCACATTCAGAGAATTTAACGCTTATTCAGACTCTTAACTAAAATACAGGCTATATTCACATTTCTCAAATTCTTCCAATAATATCCTTTATGGCAATTTTTCATTCTTCTTGTTCTGATCAAACATCAGCAATGCATTTAGTGAGCCTTTATTTTAGAAATTGTGATGGCAAAGACAATAACCTAGAAGGTTATATGGCGATTTGAGAGTTTCACTTTATTTGAACAAACTTAAATTGCCCAGTCTTCAAAGTTTTAAGTAATCTAAGACACCAAGGGTAGGGAATGATTAAAATTTGAAAAATAGCATATTTAGAATTTCTCTCTTTGAGACAGTGTTTACCTGAAGGACTCGTTCATGAGCAGGATGCTCTTTTAATTCTACTAATCGATCCAGAACTATGAGCTTTACATTGTTGTCACTCTCTTTAATAATTAAATCAATGTAACACTGAGCAGCAGCCTATACAAAAAAAAAAAAAAAAAGAAAGAAATACATTTTAAGAAATCATAGAATCTGAAAAACCTCTAAGAAGCCAAAATACACTCATTAACCCCTACACAAGTTTATTATGCATTTTGTTCAAAGGGCATGTGGACTGAAAGGGGCTGCTACAGGCAGAAATACTTAAATTTAAATTTAAGTACTTAAATTTAAGTAGTGACTAAACCCAGTAATGCACTATCACACTGAATTACACCCCYAGTCCTTTTTATTTTTAATTCTGAGACAGGGTCTGTTAAGTTGCCTAGGCTTGGCCTCAAACTTGTGATCCTCCCGCATCAGCCTCTTGAGTGGTTAGGCACATAAGTGTGCACCATCAGGGCAGGCTCAGAAATACTTTTTAATACTTTTAACATCMCAAAAATTAAGGGTGGAAACTAAGAAAAAAAGCAGAGAATCCCAAGAAGTATAGCTGTTAAGCAAATTTCACTTTATAACACATTAAAAAAAAAACACAGGAATTTAAAGTTCAGTGTGAGTCATTAAAATAATTTAGTATATAAGATTAATAATCCTTTATATGTATATGACAGCAGGAAAAAAGAAGATTGAATTCTGTAAAAAGGCAAATAATTTTATAAATTTGTATTTGTTTTCTTTGCCATGTAAACACACAGTGAATTGCAAGGTTACTAAGTCATGAGTAATAAGACAGCATATCTATCATCTAATCTGGTCCCAAAGAAATAAGCAGTACCTTGATTGCAGTTGGTGCACTTGACAGTGTTACTAATGTCCCAGCAGCTTCATATTTTACAGCAGGGCTAGATGACTGTAATAAGTTATAAATGCAACGAATGAAACGAGCCCTTTCAGATGGATTAGCATGACAGACCTGGAAAAGAAAACATACTTGTGATGTACCTATTTTAGCCTCCCAAGTCACTGAGATTACATGCATATGCCACCATGCCCAGCGAAAACTATAAAATATTCTTACGAGRACATAAAGAAATGTTGGCTAACATGGAGTGAGATAATATGACACAACATGGGTAATTTCAGAAAGAATTTTATTTTGAATATCTATTACAACTACTCATTCTTTTATTCATTCTTCCATAATTTATATTTTCTGTTCTCATTTCAACAATACTCATGGCAACTTTACCAGGAGTACATTCTATCTGAAGAAAACTTTCTTTGCTCATTCATATGAAGCAACTCTTCTTCCATTAAAGTTTTAGCATGAGACTTTAGTAATTCAACCACCTTTTCAGGCCCTACTTCTAATTCTAGTTTTCTTATTTCCCTTCACATCTGCCATTACTTCCTCCACTTAAGTCTTGAATCCCTTATAGTCATCCATGAAGGCTGGATCAACTTCTTCCAAAATCCTATTAATGTTGTTTATTTTGACCTCCAACCATGCATCATGAGGTTTTTTTTTTTTTTTTTTTTTGAGGCGGGGCACAAAGGATTGAACTCAGGGGCACTCAACCACTGAGCCACATCCCCAGCTCTATTTTGTATTTTATTTAGAGACAGGGTCTCACTGAGTTGCTTAGTGCTCACTGTTACTGAGGCTGGCTTTGAACTGTGATTCTCCTGCCTCTGCCTCAGCCTTCCGAGCTGCTGGGATTACAGGGTGCACCACACTGGCTAAATCACAAGGGTTCTTAATGAATCCTTTCCAGAAAGTTTTCAATTCACTTTGCCTAGATCCATCAGAAGAATCACTATCTATGGTAGCTACAGTTATAGTCTGATAAAATGTTTTCTTAAAGAATAAATCTTGAAATAATAAAAGTTAAATATGCCTTGATCCACAGGCTGGAAAATGGATGTTATGTTGGAAGGCATGAAAATATTAATCTCACTATACATTCCCATTCAAGGTGTTGAGGACTGATGCACTGTCAATAAAAAGCGATATTTTGATAGTAATCTTTTTTCTGAGGACTAGTGTTAAAATATTCAGTGAAACATGTTGTAAACAGATGTATTTGCTATTTCATTTTTAGAGCACACGTAGAGCAGTATAATTTAGYATAATTCTCAAGGGCCCTAGGATTTTCAGAATAGCACATGGGCACTGGCTTCAACTTAAAAAAAGTCACCAGCTGTATTAGCCTCTAACAAGAGAGATAGTCTGACCTCTCAAGCCAGGCATTGACTCCACCTCTGTAATATGAAAATCCTAAATGACATCTTCTTCCAAAAATCAGGCTATTTCATCTACACAGAAAATTAGTTGTTTAGTTAAGCTACCTTCATCAATTATCTTAATTAGCTTTTCTGCTAAATTTCTGTGTAACTTGCTACAATTCTTTATCAGCACTTGCTGCTTCACCTTGTATTATGGAAACAGTCTCTTTCCTTAAACCTTAAAAAGCAACTTTTGCTAGTTTCAAAAGTTTCTTCTGAAGCTTACCTCTCTCAACCTTTACAGAATTGCAGTTAGGAGGACCTTTCTCTGGATTAGGTCAGGCTTTACTCTTTTTATAACAATCCTTGTGGGAGAATTAATTCAATGTACTRTTAGAATTACCTTAGTTCTTTCTGAGTGTCCCCAGTAACCTCCTACTAAGCTCTCTCTCTTAAAGTTACCACCACCTTTATAGAATGAGTCTTCTCTAATATGTGAACTTTTGGGGACACACTCAAACTACATCCAAACCAYAGTACAAAGCTTAATCATTTCTTGCTTTTGATTTACAGTGAGAGATGTCTCTCCTTCCTGCACATGAAAACTTAAAGGCCACTATAGGATTATTAACTGGCCTAATTTCAATATCATTATCTCAGTGGTTGGGGAGATCCAAGGAGAGGGAAAGAGGTGGTAGAAGGGCTGGTTGGTGAAGCACTCAAAACACACCTAACATTTATCAGTTAAGTCTTCAGTCTTATATGGRTGTGGTTCAGTGCACCCCAAAATAATTATAATAGTAATATCAAATATCTCAGATCACTAAAATAGATATAATGAAAAAGTATGAAATATTACAAGAATTACCAAAATGTGACAGAGATATAGAATACATATTGTTGGAAAAATAATGTTGATAGTCTTGTTCAACACAGGGTTGCCATAAAACCTTAAATGACAAAAAAACACAAYATCTGCAAAGTCCAATAAAAGAGGTATGCCTGCATTTAAAGTTTCTCTACYCTCTTTCATAAACAAAGAGCATAAAAAGCACTTATGGCTTTTTTTTTTTTTAGGGGAGGGGGAGTCTTTTTAGATATCCAAAGTAATCTGGTATTTATTCAAGAAAAATCTTGAATTTTATTTCAAAGCTATTCAGTGGTTGGATCATACACAATAATTTCTTCTCAACTTTACTGACTCAAGCCATAAATTTTTATAGAATCCCTTACAAAAGTATAGAAAGGATGGATGCACACACTTGAAAAATACAATAAGCCAACAGAAAAAGAAAAAAAATACATATATGGGTATACTGTACATAGTTATTATTACAACATAATCTCCTAGCAATTAATAGTGTCCAGAAAAAAGCTAAAGGTAAATAAACTGTTGAGTTTATTTAYCCATCACAAACTATAATTCTTACCTTATAAATTAGCTCAACAATAACCAATTGTAGAATRTCTCCAAATGTTTGAACTTGATCAATACAAGTACTTAGGTAATCCAAAGCTCGATCCTAAAGAAATAAAGAATGTATTTATCATACCCTACCTCATTTGATAAAATTATTTGATGGAACTTTTTAAAATACACATATTATGCTCAAATATAAAACAGATGAAGAAATCAGAGTATAGAGAAAATAATTTGAAAAATAAAATAAAATGAAAAACCAAGTAAGAAGTTAACACTTAGGACTGGGATTGTGGCTCAGTGGTAGGGCGCCTGTCTAGCATGTGTGAGGAACTGGGTTTGATATTTACCACCACATAAAAATAAATAAAACAAAGGTATTGTGTCCATCATCATCAGCAACAACAACAAAGAAGTTAACATAAAATACAAGACAGAAAGTCAAATACATTTTTGTAGGCCACAAATCTAGGGTCTGAATTTTTTAGCAGCTAAACGAAGAAAAATGCTGTTCATTATCTGATTCAGTGTATTTATGCAATCAAAACAAACTAGCTATTTACGAACATAGTTATTCTTATYACTGAGACCTAAAAGAAAAATTTCATGTGGATCCTCATATATATATAATGTGATTTGGGGAACTAGGGCCTTGACAATCTCTCTCCAGTAAAAATACCAATAAATTTAATTGAACTAGTTCTGATTACATCCCTTATAATGTATGTACRTAAACATTATAATATAAAAAGTACAGATTAGTTAAACCAATTCTATAAGAAAACAAAATATTATGGTTCATATAAGTGGCTTTCTCAAAATTTTGTTTAGGAAGATAAAATGACAGTATCTAATATCACCACATACCTATTAGGATGGCTTCTATCAAACAAATGAAAATAACTAGGGTTGGCAAAGACATGGAGAAACTAGAACCATTTTGTACTGCTAGTGGGGATGTAAAATGATACAATGGACATGAAAAACATTATGGTTGTTCCTCAAATAATTAAAAGAATTGTCATATAATCTAGCAATTTCACTTCTGAATATAAACTCATAATAAAAGCAGTGACTCAAATGTTCATTGATRGATGAGTAAATAAAATGTGTATATACTTAGAGTGGAATATTATTTAGCCTTAAAAGGAAGGATATTCTGACACATGCTACAACATGGATGAACTTCAAAGCATTATGTAAAGTGAAATAAGTCGGTCACAAAAGGGCACATGCTAAATGATTCCATTTATATGAAGTACTTAGAATAGTAAAAATTATAGAGACAAAAAGAATGGTGATTATTAGGGGCAGGGAGAAATGGGAATAGAAGTTATCATTTAATGGGTCAGTTTCACAACATAAAAAAAGTTATGGAGATGGATGATGATGATGGTTGTGCAACATCATGAATATATTTAATACCATTAAACTRCACACTTAAAAATGGTCAAGATGGTAAATTTTATATGCATTTCATCACAGTAAAAATAACTGGGAAAAAATAAAGGAAGACCTAGGGGGAAAATGACAGTATACAGATTTCAGAGGAAATGGACAGACTTTATATTTTTCAGTCTTCATGTGTATTATTTACTACATTTTGATAACCAATACTGGATATCAAACTGTCCAAATTATATGCCACCAAGGTATGCAGAATCACTGTTAACCAAATGTAGATCCATATACTTTCACCACTAGCAGAGCTGGATATGGAATTGGTATACTCTTATCAAATAGCAGACCACCCTACTTCCACAGACATGGCCAAGGGTGGACCTATACTAGCTATGACTATTTCTCTTTAAACATTTTTAGATTACAATAATATAAAGAAAAATAGGCAGCCAAGTTCTAGAATAGTGTGCCATGAAATATAGCCATAACAACTTCAATCTGGAAAAATCTATTAAGTGGGGATTGATGGCATAACTCAAACACAGAATACATGTTAAACTGTGCAAGGTTGTGAGTTCAATGACCATAACCCAAAACTGTAAAGTGGCTATTTTATTACTTTCTAAAAAAAAAGAATATAAATCAGGGACAGTGGYGCATGYTTGTAATCCTAGTTACTTGGAGAGCTGAGGAAGGAGGATTCCGAGTTTGAGTCCTGCCTGTGCAACTTAACAAGACCATTAGTAACTTAGTGAGACCCTGTCTCAAAAAAATTAAAAGAGCTGAGGATACAGCTCAGTTGGTAGATCATCCCTAGGTTCAATCCCTAGTATTGCAAAAAAAGAAAAAATAATAATATATACAGTACATAAGTAGTATTTTAGAGAAGGGTTAAGAAAAAAAATTTATATAARTTGAATCAAAAATCTAAAAAAATCAAAATACTCAAATCTCAAGTAATAGAAACAAAATTACTAAATGAAAACATGAKCAGACTTATATAACTTTTATTCTCATTTAAATACAGTCATAAAAGAATTTAAAAAAAAAATACTCACCTGATCTGCATGAATCAGCATCATAAAGGCATTCCTTTTGCAACTTGCATCCTTCTCATTTACCAGAAAATCATGTATCAGCTCAGGAGCATCAGGAATAAGATGTTCAAAATTTCTTTAAATAAAACATTAACATATTTAATAAAAACATACTCTACTAACTTAACAGCTTTCTGGATCATACCAAAATTAAAATTAAACTTTATAGCACTACTGATTCTTCAAATTTCTCAAAGTTTAAATCAATTAGAATTGGGGGAAGAAATCAAAAGGTCATACCTTCATCTATGAAGTTATCAAATTTTGTTTTCTAGTTCAATGTAGAAAGAATGGATTTATTCAATATATATTTTATTAATTGATRTCTCTAATAATTAACTTTCATACACTTCAGGAATATATATTAAGATAAAGTAAAAATCTTTCCTTAATAAATGAACAATCCTTCATTAAGAATGATTAGAGGGCTRCTGTTGTGGCTCAGTGGTAGAGCACTTGCCTGGCACATGCAAGGCCCTGGGTTTGGTCCTCAGTACCACATAAAAATAAATAAAATAAAGGTATTGTGTCCAACTACAACTAAAAAATAAATATTAAAAAAAATTACTAGTGAAAAAAATATTATCTGGAATTTTATTGGCTATATACTGTATTTACGTATTTATTAACTTGCCTCCTATTTTAGAAGTATTATAGTCACACAGAATGATAAACACTAGATTAACAAAAATGCCACCTAGTTTCAACAATTTTCAGCCAGTTTTATTTTACCTATCCTGTCTACCTCTCCTTCTGTTATTCTGAAACAAATCCCAACTTATTTATTTTTTTCTGTAAATACATTGGTATGTTTCTCTAAAATTTAAAGATGATTATTATTCTACTGTCATAAAAATCATGAATTCCTTAATACCATTAAATAGCCAGTCATTRTTCAAATTTCCAATATTGCCTTATAAATGTCATCATTTTTGTGTGCCCTATAATTTAAATCCTGAACTTTATATGGTTTGTATGTTCACATTCTAAGAATTAAATTATATTATTAATCAGAATACCACTTTTTTTAACAGATAAAATCTACTACAATATTATGGTAACTGTGAAATTATGTCTCAATCAAGTAAGATATCAAAAGTAYAAAGATGTTTATAAAATTATATTCTAATTCTAAATAAAGTGACACCAGTTGATTATAAAAACCAAGTACTGCAGCTTTATCCAACTACCTCTCTTTCAATTGTTTCTTTAAAAAAAAAGTCCAATATCTTTAGCTTTCTAACAATAGGAATCACTTAAGAACTGCAGCCCTTCTCATTAAAAAAGTTCACTCATCAAAGCCTCTAAGGATAAAAAGATAAGACCCACAGCCACAAAAAGAGAATTCTAAAACAAGGTTAAAAACTCAAGCTGGGCTCAGAAGCAAGCTGGAGGCCAGCCTTGGAAACTTAGTGAGACCCTGTCTCAAAATGAAGTTTAAAAAAAGGGGRATAGTGGTGGCTGAAGAGGTAGCTGAGTGGTAGAGTACTTGCCTAGCATACATGAAGTTCTAGGTTTGACCCTCAGTCACAGGTAGGTGATGGTGGTGAACAAGTTACAGCTCAAAATCTTTAGGGGATAATCAAATACATATTTCAATCAAAAGTGAACAGAARTAATACAATTGAGAATGAGAGGCACTGCCTTAAATTGGAAAGTTTGTAAATTTTTTTGTTTTTGTTTTTTTTGGTGGTGCTAGGGATTAAACCCAGAGCCTTGTGCATTTGAGACAAGCACTCTACCAACTGAGCTATATCCCTTAGCCCTAAAGTGTATACATTTGTTTTACTTTATTTTTTGGTTGTGTGGGGAATGAACTTGGGGCCTCCTTCATATTAGGCAAGTGCTCCACCACTGGGCTACGCTATAATCTTTTTAAAGGGGGGGCCAGTGTCATTCAGTTTCAGCAGATTATTGTCAGGGAGAAACCAGGGCCAAGTGTGGCCACCTTCTTTTTGACTTTCCAATGCTGAACTTAATAAAGAAAAAAATATTTTGCTAGTCAATGCAAAAGCTATATATACCCTATAAGCAAACACTTAAAAACYTCCAGTATGAAAAACTAAAAGCTTGTCCCAGAACTAAGCCAAAGTAGTATCTTTATTTACCTATAGATAGTATAGATGGCCAAAACAGCATTCCTTCTAACATAGCTATGTCGATGTTCCAAACAAGCACGGATAGCTGGCATTAAAGGTTCTAGCAATTCTGCTTCCTTCAGTTTGCAAAGAAAACGTAGRGTAGATCCTCGAATAAACTCATTAGGATGCTGAAGATCCTGGTATAAAAATTTTAAAAAATGAAMTGCTGAGTTTCAGCTTTTTTACAAACATTAATTTTAAATGTGAAATTTTTCAACAGAAAAAGTCGAAGTTAGTTTAAGAGTCCTAGCTTATCAGACAATTTCTATCAGATTTCTTTTGATAAGAGCAATTTATATATATATACACTTTAAATTAACAACACACACATAAAATGCATAGAAAACGTCTAAAAAAGTAACAACAGAACTTTTTGTAACACTTCAAAATTTCAATTCCAAATATTACAACTGACATCAAAGACTTAATTTTAAAAATCAATGAGGCCCATTCCACTAACTTTACAATTATTTAAAAATCAAAGCAATATTCAGAAATACTTATAGTTTGGTTTACCTTTCTGTATGCATCACATACGAGAATCATTTCATGCAAAAGTCTCCCATCTGGAGTTGTTTTAGGAACAATTTCCCAAAATACCAGAAGTAATTTTTTGATGGTGTGATCCTGAAGAGGCAGCACAAAACGAATGATGGTCATCAGAAGTCCAGGAAGCTTTTCACCATTAAGAATCATGATGATTACTTTCTTTAAAGCTTCAGTCTTTGACTTCACATCTCCTTTTTCTGAGTCATTAAAAAAAAAAAAAAAGCACAATTATTTCAAAAGAAAATTCCTTAATTTTTTTTTTTTTTTGGTACCAGGGCTTGAACCCAGTTTATTTGAGGATCCCCAGCCCTTATTTTTAATTTTGAGACAAGGTCTCACTAAGTTGCTTAGGACCTAAGTTGCTGAGGCTGGTTTTGAATTTGTAATCCTCCTGCCTCAGCCTCCAGAGTCACTGGGATATCAGGCATGCACCACTGTGCCAGGTTTCCTAATTTTAAAAACAAATTAACAAAATAAATATACTTTATTAGCTGCAATAGTAATAAAGGCACAAATCCAACTGACAAGGTTTCTTTACTTAGCTGTATCACAAACAAGCTGTGTACTTTTTTGGGGGGTGGGGTGGGGGGAGTATTAGGGATTGAACTCAGGGGTACAGTACCACTGAGCCACATCCCAACCCTGTTTTGTATTTTATTTTAAGACAGGGTCTCACTGAGTGCTTAGCACCTCGCATTTGCTGAGGCTGGGTTTGAATTTCTGATCTTCCTGCCTCAGCCTTCTGATCCACTGGGATTATTGGGGTATGACACTGCACCCGGCCAAACTGGGTACTTTTGCACAATTAATTTATCTTTGAATTGTGAATTCTTTATATATATCATGAATATATTATATGATGATAATATCTAATCCAGGGATTAGATTTCTAGTCCCTAATCAACTGAGTTAATGTAAGAGTTCATGAATCTTCTTGGCTACTTGGTGTGTTTCAAACATACATGTAACTATTTTTCAATACATAAACAGATATTGTTAGGATATGTGCTTCAGAATTCAAAGCAGCTCATTTTGTGCGCATTTTCTCAAAGTTACAGCCACTACTATGCGAAATGGAGTGAATACAGTGATCTGTTTATAAATATTAGGAGGAGAGTTCTTGAATATTCAAAATTAAGTCTGAGAACTAACAGAGTAAATAATTCCACTCCTATCATATTTCTATAGACAACACAATTTTAGACTCTTAAGATAGCATCTGAAAAACTAGAAGAGAATTAGAATGTCCCATTTAGTAACAACTGTTTAGAATTAAGGATGACATTTTGGATAAAATACATTTACTGTTACTTAGGCTAAAAACTGTGGAATATAAAATATTCTATACAAAACAATCTATAATTTCACATCATTACCATTGCATGCTAAAAATTTTATAGTACTAAAAATCTTTTCGATTCAAAATTCAAAGGCAGAAATATAAGACAAACACATTGYCACTAGTATACTGTACTTTTTTGGGGGTGGGGACTGAACCCAGGGCCTTATACATGGTAGGCAAGCACTCTACCACTGAGCTACATTCCCAGTCCTATACTTGTCTAGATCATAAAAAATAAATAAATATATGGGAGAGGAGATGATRAAGATTGTCCAGTGAAACATCAATACGCCTAAAGCTATCATGAGGAAAATAATCAGAAGAAACTAGTAGAGCTGGGTGTAGTGGCACATGCCTGTAATCCCAGGAGCTTGGGAAGCTAAGGCAGGAGGAGCAAGAGTTTAAAACTAGCCTCAGCAACTCAGTGAGGTCCTACTCTCTGGGGAAAAAAAATTAAAAATAGGGCTGGGGGGCTGGGGATGTGGCTCAAGCGGTAGCGCGCTCGCCTGGCATGCGTGCGGCCCGGGTTCGATTCTCAGCACCACATACAAAGATGTTGTGTCTGCCGATAAATAATAAATATTAAAATTCTCTCTCTCTCTCTCCCTCTCTCTTAAAAAAAAAAAATAGGGCTAGGGATGTGGTTCAGTGGTTAAATGCCCCTGGGTTCAATCCCCAGTACCAAAGAATAAAAAGAAAAAGAAAAGAAGAAATTGGTGGAAAYTAGTGGGAAGCAGATTTGGGCCTAAATATGAGATAGAAATCTATTCCTTTTCTTTCTTTATTTTGTTGTACTAGAGACTGAACCCAGGGGTGCTCTATTTATGAGCTCCATTTCCCCAGTTTTGCTAACTTGCCGAGGGCGGCCTTGAATGTGCAGTTCTTCTGCCTTAGCCTCCAGAGTTGCTTGTATTATAGGCATGTACCACCATGCCTGGTGAGAAATTTCTAACAACTAGMGCTAAGTGGCTATTAAATAAAGAGTTCCTATTGCCAAAGGGGCAGAAACTATACATGACCACTTGATGGGTTAAAGKAAGGAAGTAAACTCCAGAAGAAATGAACTAGGTGAACCAAAGACTTTCTAAGCTCTTAAAGGCTATTTAAAATTATTGCCAGTTCATATGATATTTTCACAAATTAAGAATAGAGAATACTGTCAGGTATTTGAATTAATTAGGCAAAGTTCAAGTGGCTARAGCTGTATTCACTGGGTGTAAGCAGTTTTTTTCCTCTTTGTTCCAAACATCCTGATTTAAAAAAATTTTTTTTCCATATCCTGTTTCATAACATTAAGGACACAAAATCCAAAAGCCATAAAACTATATTGCTATATCTTTTTAAAAGTATCTTTTTAGTTGTAGATAGACACATCTATTTTATTCATTTATTTTTATGTGGTGCCAAGGATCAAACCTAGTGCCTTACATGTGCTAGGCAAGCCCYCTACTACTGAGCTACAACCCCAGCCCCTTGTTATAATCTTCATGGCTAATTATGCTCCAGTGTTTTTATTCTTCACAAATTAGAAAATTTCTAAATATAATTTAGTAGGYTAAATTCAACTTGTAACAATACTTCAAAAAATTTTAAAATAAGTTTAACAGTAAACTTATAAAAAAAATCTGTGCCATTTACATTTTAAGAAACTCCACCCCAATTTTCATTTATTTCAATAATCCAAGTTAAGATGAAACAAGGAGGGCTGGGATTGTGACTCAGCGGTAGACCACTCGCCTAGCACATGCAAGGCCCTGGGTTCGGTCCTCAGCACCATATAAAAATAAAGATATTGTGTTCAACTACAACTAAAAAATAAATATTAAAAAAAGATAAAACAAGGATATGTTTCTTTCCATATCTTCATAATTTTTAGAACTTTTCCTCTCTATAAACAGTATAAAACATATGCAAAATTTCACCTATCAATTCAATTCACAATAATAGACTAAACGCTTCCTAATCTGGGGAATATACAGTCCTCAGAGTTCAGATTCAGTAACTAAAGGTTCAAAAAAAAAAAAAAAAAAAGTAAATTGTGGAAGTAACACAGTATTTAGCCAAACAAAAAAGTTGTTACTCAAAATTAGAAACTAGTTATTTTTTCTCTTAACTTTTCTTAAAGGCAAAAATATACACAGAATTGGACACTGTTTATTTATTGTTAGAGGGCAGTCAAGGCAACTGTAATTCAGACAAGGGTAATGTTCCAATTATGACAGAGTTAGTTCTGTACCTTCCAACTATAATTATAAGCATTTTAGGGATCTAATAATAAAAATCATTTATTATGAAAAAAATAGTAATAAGAGTATATTTATTAATTTGTATTCCATTCAATTATCTTATGTGAATATGGGGGAAAAGGGGTGAAGGGTGAAATATACATGGCTTTTGTTCTAATAATTTCAATTAAATGCCATAAAAGAGGGTTTCTTTTCCCTTCTCTAAAAATATCTTTTCAGGCAGAGGTATATAGCTCAGTATCTGTATGGCATGCAAGAGGGTTGGATCACATTACTAACAAAAAGTAAAAAGTAAAACTAGATTTCAACAGGCATCTAATATTAAGTAATGTAAGATTAGGAGGTATTCCATTTATGCTAATTAAGAGGTGGGAACAGGCAAGCAAAACACTGTCTCATTATAAATGGCTTCTAAAAGATATTTACAATGTAAGAATAATTTTCTRTTTAAAACTATCAGTTCAACTTATATTTTTTTCTTAGTTCAATTAAATAAGAAGCATTACTTTGGAAGTGTATTACTTAAAAAAGGGTGTGTGTGTGGCTACTCAGTGGTAGAGTGCTTATCTAACATGTGTAAGGCCCTGAATTTTATCMCCAGCACTGTGGGGAAACTTTTTTTTTCCCTTGACAGAATCACTTACATAAGTATGCACTTTTAAAGTAGTKACAGTATACAATTTTTAAATTTCAGAAATACAGTTCTTGTTTTCTTCTTGCAAAAATGTTTTCAAGGGGCTGGGTTTGTGGCTCAGTGGTAGAGCGTTCGCCTAGCATGCATGAGGCACTGGGTTCGAGCCTCAGCAATATATAAATGTAAAATAAAGATACTGTGTCCACCTAAAACTTAAGAATAAATATTTTTTAAAAAATGCTTTCAAAATGAAAAGCTTAAACTTTYAGGAAAAATACATGTTTATTCCACTGTTGACGTCACTGATTGGGAGAGAAACCCAAAGAACAAAGTTCTTTTGATTTTACAAGCTAAGTAAGTATATGAAGTTACCTGAACAAAGTGACATTCCACCACACATTCTCAACCTGCTACCTAAGGAGAATTGTCAGCTATCTTTAAGTATAATACATTAAAATGCACAAGCAATTACTTGATTTTGAAGAATATCTAACAATTGAACTATTATATATGTATATGTGTATGTGTGTGTGTGTGTGTGTGTATATATATATATATATATATATATTTTTTTTTTTTTTTTTTTTTTAAAGATGACTACATTTCTTTAGCTTTCCTAAGCTAAACTGAGATGTTATTCTATTTCCATAAACCAATACTGGAAGTCTAAAGGTAGCAAGTTTTCAATTTCTCAAGAACTATTGAAGACATTATAGAAAAAGTATTTAGATAAAAATTAAGCATTTCTAATTATAAAGGAAAATGAAATGTAAATGAGCTTTTTTTTTTCATTTCATTCTCAAAATATTATCAGTGTTTACAAAGTTGAGAGTAGAAAGTTGAGTCCCAGAGGCTGGGAAAAGTGGATCAGTGGGTAATACCTTACAGTGGTAAGAAGTTCAGACATGTTATATTGCACAGCAGGGTGACAACTGTAGTCCATAAAATACTACATATTTTATTGATTGACTGCAGTGCTGGGGAGTGGCCCCCCCTGCCTCCCTGTGCCACATCCACAACCCCCAGTACTGGATTTAAAAAAAAAAAAAACTAGATGAAAGAATTTGAAATGTTTTCTTTCACCCTAAAGAAATGCTTAATATCTGAGATACATTTAACCTTATTTAAACATTACACAATGTTAACAGGTACTCCGTTAATGTGCAAATTTGTTTTTATCCGCTAAAAATCAAGTTTAACTTAAGCTTTATAAAGTTTACCTAGATCATTTTTTAAGCTAATTTCAGATGGTGGTTCTGAATCCATTGGCACGTTGATTAAAGTATAGCACACGTTCTCAGCAGCCGTCATGGTTTCTGGTTATAATCAACCCCCAATACAAGATTTAAGGAATGCAGATGCCAGAAAATCTAKAAAAACAAATATAGCGATATCATTAAAAAAAATTTTTAATCCCACAAATGAGTAATCCTTCTTATATAAAGTTCATTCAGTTCGGCCTATAAGTTTTAAAGTCTTATAAAGGGAAGGTCAATCTATATATATTGCGTTCCCATAAAAGTAAATTCCAATAAAAAACACACTTGTCAACTCCAGTTTAAGGTCTAAAATCTCTCACCTCCTCATACCTCTTCCCSGGCCGAGGGTTGGGAATATTTTGTAAAACAGTGACAGTCCCCCACCTTTAACAGAACAGTGATTTCTCACAAAACTGCTCGAGTAAGAGGTCCCATGCACAAATACTCTTGTCAAAATCTTGGAGCGCTTGGCCGCGGTCGGCAGTAGGTACCTCAAAGCCGGTACCCAGCGCCGCACCCCACCTCGCCCCACCCACTGGCCCCTTCCCTTCCTCCAGCCAAGCAGGCCCGGACTTCACAGCGCGAGGCCGGGGCTCTAGCGAGARAGAAGACCCCTGGCCAGCACGCAGGCCTGGACGGGGCGTCCGGCCCTGAGCTCTCGGGCCCACCCCCACCGTTCCCCTTTGCCAGGCCCCGACGCCAGCGGCCTAGTTGCTCCCGCTCCGCGTCTCCCCGCTAGAGAACCAGTTCTTCCGACTCTGCGCAGCCCATCACGCCTCCAAGGCTAGGGGCTTTTGGCCMGCTACCTGGCTCCGAGGGGCAGCGGTTGAGTGAACCGCGGGACCGTATACCCCGGCTCCAACCAGAGGCAGCAGTGAAAGCTCCAGAGTCCTTGGCTGACGTGGAAGGGGGTGGGGAGACGTTCGTAGCCACAGCCACCTAGCTCTACGGCGACTCAGAGAGGACATGTCTTCTCCGTCCTGCTGTTGCGCGTTGCAAGCACGTCCGGTTTTTTCCTTCTCTCCCATCCCAGGTTGGTATAGGCCGCAAAGAAGAGTGGAAATACGTATTTGTGAAATTTTTTCCTGTAAGCCAACCGCTAACCTAAGTTCTGTAGTCATTTATTGGTTACGTGGAAATTATTCTTTTTCCAGGGACGCAAACCGTCAAAGGGAGGAAGGGCTTGAACAGAAGGCAAACAATTCTGCCCAGTTGTATCCGGTGGAGGAACCCAGGACTGGAACCTGGAGTCCCTTTTCTTGCTTTCCCACTGATAAATTGAGGAAGTAACTACTTACCATYGGGAAAGTAATTTCAGTTCTCTAAATAAACCCACTGGATTACATCAAGACCCATTTCTGTTAACATCTCCAGTAGTCTAAATCTCCCTCTTTGCAATTGAAMTGGAGCTGCTTGAATATCTAAAGTTGCATTGGTGTAATTTCTGCTATTTAGTAATGATTTCCTTTGTTATCCTTTATGAGTACCCAGTAAATTAAACTTTTAAAAAATGAATAAAGGGAGACAGTCCCTCTTAAGGATTTTATCTATCTCCGAAAACTTGTTATWGCTATAGTTAGTACCTTAGGTTTTGCCCATTCGAGGTCCCAGAACTCACTTGCTGCTCCCCACCAGGAAAACAAACAACAAAAAAAAAGACAGAATCTGACAGAATCTGTTGCTATTAATAGGGCCACCTCACTTAGGGGGCTATAACACAAATAGAACTTCATCTACATAGAATCCAGCTATTTTGAGGTTTTATTTTGAAACCATCGAACCAAATTCGAGCTCCCACAATTTATTTTTAAGTCACATGCTTAGCACTTGAAGAAGGCCCTCCTCGGGTGCACTCACATATTTATATATGTATATAATTTTTTTAGCGGTGGACGAATCTTTGTTTTTATTTATTTTTGTGTGGTGCTGAGAATTGAAACCAGTGCTAGGCAAGTGCTTTACCACTGCGCCATAACCCCAGCCCCCTCTGCACTCATTTTTAAAAAGCTTTTATCACGATAATTGAAGTGACATGAACATAGAGGTCCCATATACTGTTCATCTAGTTTCTCCCAATGGTAATAACTTGTGTATTTATAGTACACTATAAAATCCATGAAACTAAAATACAATTCACCCATCCTTACTCAAGATTTCACCAATGTCTAGCTCTAGACAGCTGATTTGTATAATCAACAGCACAGTCAAGATACAGAACTGGGGGTAGGGTTGTAGTTCAATGGAAGAGAGCTTGCCTAGCATGTGTGAAGTACTGGGTTTGATTCTCAGCAYCACATAAGAATAAATAAAATAAAGGTATTGTGTCCATTTACATCTTTAAAAAGATACAAATTGTTCCATTGCAAGGATCCCTAATGCCATCTTTTTCAAATCATAGCACCTTCATCATTAGCCCCTGGAAACCACTAATTTGTTTTATTGTCAATGATGTTGTGTAAATGGAATTAAACAATGTAGTCTTTCAAGATTGGCTTACTCAGCATAATTCTCCCAAATCAATCCAAGATATGTCTTCAACAGTTTGTTTCTTTTGGATATACTTTTCATGGAATCTTTACAAATGCAGTTATCTTATTTCCAAGCCTTATCAAAAAGTGAAATGTGTTAGCAAGAAATGAGGCCAAACAAGATATAAAGATTATACTTTAGGACCACACRGTATGGTCCTAAGTCTAATGGTTATATCCACTTGAGTTATCCCAGACGTTGTGTTAAAACTTCAGGGTTTATTATGACCCTGAGTTAAGGAAACTATTAAAACATGAAAAGAAGGCATTTTAGTTTGCCTCTGAGTGTCACTAGTAKTATCTAGTTATGTATTTTTAAAGGAAGAACTTCTGAAGAGATGTAAAGACAATTTATGGCCTCACCAATTCTTCCCTACTGGTATAAAATGCAACTTTGGATCTTTTACTGTATCATGTAATTATATAATTTTGAATGCTTTCAAATTATAACTAATTTGAGAGTGAAGACCTTGCTATGTATTAAGAATCCAATACTTAAAAGTCTAGGAAATAAAGACCTAATGATGAAATTTGCCCTGAATCACGTAATTGTCAAATACTAAAAAGAATTAGAACCCGAATCCTGTAATCTATGATTTGTGGCCTTTAACCATGCCAGTTCTTAAGAGCTATACATATAGATGCTTAATAAATACTAGGTAAACTGTTATCTTTATATCAAAGTGACAGGACTTAYAAGACATTAGGAATCTTATGGCTTGTCATTATATGACACACACTAAATGGAATAATTGAGTACAATAGACCAGACAAAGCAAAAGGATATAATGATTAACTTTGTAATATAGTGGGGTAAGTTTTATTGGGGTGTGGAGAATTTTAAGTTCTAAAGTCAGCGTACTAGACTAAAAAAATCACTTATTGAAAAAACTGATATTGTCCCCAAAGTAAAATAAAGACCACTGTTTTTTGTTTTTTTTTTTTGCTGAGTTCCAGTCAACTATTAGTTGTTTGCATTTAAGGGGTAGGTCCAAAAAAAAAAAAAAAAAAACCCATACACAGTATCTTTATATTTAAACAGAATCACTCAGCAGACAACTCACCCAATGAAAGGCACAGGGGGTAGAAGAAAGACTTTTCTAAGCAAAGAACAGCTTATCAAACTGCCCACTTATGTTCCCTCCCCAGACTATACATGCATTGAGGGTGGAGGTAGGTGGTTAGCATCCCTCTGTTCACTTTATTTATATATGAAAGTTACAGGTACTTGATGCAATKCCATTGTGATTCAGATAGCCACATGGTTCCTGTGGCCTGTTACCAAACTTAAATAAGGCAGACAGAACTTTCAGGCTACTTCCAGAGCAGGAGTCCCTCACTCCTTACAGGTTCCAATGCTTAGAGAWCTTTCCTTCAACAGAGTTGCCAGTTTCTTTTACCATTACTTTACCAAAAGAAGTCACAAAGAGATTTAAACTGATACTTTTTAAGTTTTGGGAAACCTAAAGGAAAAAAAAAAACTAACATTTTCAATTTAGGAGATATTATAAATTCTCTCATTTATTCTTTTTTTTTTAAGAGAGAATTTTTTTAATATTTATTTTTTAGTTTTTGGTGGACACATCTTTGTTTGTATGTGGTGCTGAGGATCGAACCCGGGCCACATGCATGCCAGGCGAGCRCGCTACCGCTTGAGCCACATCTCCAGCCCCTTCTCATTTATTCTTTTTTTCAAAATATTTATTTTAGTTTTAGGTGGACACAATATCTTCATTTTATTTTTATTTGGTGGTGAGGATCGAACCCAATGCCTCATGCATGCTAAGCGAGCGCTCTACCACTGAGCCCCAGCCCCAGCCCTCATTTATTCTTAAAATAATTCTCCAATGGGTTTCCTTAGAATAGGGCTAAGTAACTTGCCCAAAGCCAATAGCAGCTAATTAGTAGAATTAGATTAAAAATTTTTGTTAGTATCCACAAATAAAACTTCTCTAAAAATACGTACTATCTCAGAAAATAAAATACACCTAGGCTTTTGAGCAGTGAAATTTTGGATTTTTTTAATGATTTCCTAATTTAATTTTGTATGATCTAAGCTAAAAATTTCTGCAACATCTGAGKATATAACCCAGGGAATAGAAGGTAATATACAAATTATGCTGGAGTTGGTTTGTGTAGGATTAGAGGTTTGAGATTATTTGCAAAAATTCCCAAGAAAATCCAGAGCTCTATTGCCATCTGCTGATTGGATAGAAAAACTGTTCAGACATTAAGAATCTTGGCTTTTTTTTGGTAAAAATGTGCTAGAGATTAACCCAGGGCCTAGAGTGGGGCAAGCCTGAATTCTACCATGGAGTTATATAGCCCCAGTCCAATCTCACTATTTTAGTTGGGAAGTGGTGTTTCTTAGGTAGGCTTTTTCTTTTTTGCAGTAATGGGGATTGAACCCAGGAGTGCTCATACAAATGAGCACCAACCCCTTTTATCTATTTATTTATTTTGAGAACAGGCTATCACTAAATTGCTGAGCCTGGCCTTGAGTTTTCAATCCTGCATCTGCTTTCTGAGTAGCTAGGATTACAGGTGTGTGCAACTGCACCCAGCAGTTTCTTTGATTTTAATCAGAATAATCTATATCCTGATATTTGCATTTGGAGCCAAATCTCCATGGATTTTCATGAAGCCAGCCCATAACTAGAAACTGTTACAAGCCTGTGGTAGATGAGGCATTTTTATATATCATTAAAAACAAGGCAATATAATCTTGCAAATGTGGCAAATAAGTAATTGCAATCCCAAATTACTATTCGTAGTTGAAGTTACTTAAAAAACAAAAACCCAATACACCAGGAGGTGAAACAATTTTATTTCACAGTTGTCTTTAAAACCCCAAAGACACTATTTTCTTTATATAAAAACACTGGTATACCTATACTTTCTAGAAAATGATTATATAGACCCTCTCAAAGAAAAATGTACCCCATTATATGGTTCGGGGAAGTTATTTGGAAAAAACACATTTGGACTGATTCCTAAAATCAGTATTTGGACTTATACCATTCCACCATTGCGTCTTTTGGTTCAAAGTATAGATTACTGTCATCAGTATGTGTTTCTGCATTCTCAAATATTCAATAATACACATATAGTTAAGTTTATCACTTAATGTTCCATTGGTTCATCAGCCTTTTCTGCAGGTTCATCAGCAGGTTGTGCAGGCTTAATAGGGAAGAAAAAAAGAGAAGATGAAAAATGAACATCTGGTCAATATGTACTCCTAAWTACAAATGTTACATTATAAAAACTTAATGAAAAAAGGGTTAAGGGATATTTTGAATACTAAATTTCTAAGAGCTTTTAAAGAATATATTTGATTTCAGTTCTGAATGCCTAAAAATCATTGAACA